GGTTCCAGGACTCGTGCGGGCCATTGCAGCCTGCGCACTTCTTAGGTGTGTCGGCTTTCGAAGGGCAGTCCCGGGAGTTGTGTTCTTGCGCGCAGTGGCCACATGCTGTTATGGCTTTGCATTAGGTTCCTATGTGGCCGTATTTCTGGCAGTTGAAGCATTGCTTCAGGCGGCATTATCATTCGTATCTCTCGGTGTCATAGTGGCACCCCTGCCATATTAACCCTTCATCAATGATCTTATTCGCATCCTCTGGCTTAGTAAACTCGATTACCAGCGTGGACATCCTCTTGGTCTGTGCCTTCCGACTGAGCCATCCGATGTATTTGATTTCTGCTGTTAGGATAAAGGGTTTGTTTTCACTCAAGATAGCGGCGTTGATTTCGTCCAGTCTGTCCATATCCATATCTTTGGTATATACGCTGTGTACGAGCACACCATATGTCTGGCTGCGTATTGACATTCCGTTCCCTATCCTAGGGACCCATTCCTGGGCGGACTGTCTGAGCGTCTGTGCTTCGCCCGGTGTAACCGTTTTTATGCTAATGTCTCCGCTCATGAGTTGGTTTACAGACATGACCTTTGCGTTGGTTACTCTGCCTTGGGCTATGGCTTGTTCGACATGGGCTTTCAGGTTGCGTGGGTTCATGGAACGCAGGTGGTGGATCGTTTGTGCATTTCTAATATTCACGATGATCTCACGATGCGTTTAAGCAGGAGGTCTGGTGTTTTATAGACTATATATACTTGTTGCCGTCGCTCCTTGCGCTGCCACGGCGGCATAGCTTGCTATAGCCTGCTGCTGGTGTGTCCCTTTGTTTCTGAGTACCATCCTGCCTATGTCGACTGCCTTAATCGCCGCTGTCTTCGCTTCTTTACCCGCTGTTACTGCTGCTTGTGTATTTGCCTTTGTTGCCTCTATGTCTTCTTGGAGGTGTCGGAAGGCTTCATCCATGCTTTTCCATCCTTTCACTGTCTCTGTGCGCAGTCAATCTACCTTCTCTTCTAGGGAGGCTACGTCAGGGGTGTCCTTGATTTTGGCGAGCGCGAGTAACGCGCTCTTGAGGGCTTTGCTTAGTTGATTTCTATCAATCTCTTTCTCTCTTTCTACGACTTGCAATGTATCGCTGAGCCGCTTCGTGATTTCTAGGACACGCTCTCAGAGGTTGGTGGGCCCAGTTACCTCCTGGGACCAGGGCGTCGCCATGTCTTACGGCCGCGCTGGGCGGTGCGGCTTCCGAGAAAGCAGTTTCCGGTCTTCAAGAGATGTATGTGAACACAATTAAGCTCTTTATTCCAAAGGTGAGAGTTCTCGCTGTTGTTGTGCTTTTCGAACGACTGAATTCAGGCCCCTCTCTGGAGGCTTCGCCGGCTAGGAGGGGGGTACTGTCACGGGGTCACCCCCATGACACGTGATAAGCACCATTCTGTTGCCTTACCCGAACCCAAACATCAGCCAGTACAAGCCAACACAACTCAGTGTTGGCGAACCAGCCCTGAAGCCAGCCAACACTGGCTAACATAACTTGATGAAAGCCAGCATAATCTAGTATTGGTGAACCTTGCCCCGAACCCCAATTAGGAAAGGGAGACAAGCCCTCCCCACTTTCCTCATGTATTTAAGCACGCGTACTCTCTAGATATTCTCTCTTTCACGCAACGTCTTGACTCTGGTACTACACCTGTACCACACAAACTAGTAGATAGCCGACAATCTCATTATTTCACCTCACGTGATAACTTGAGCAGATCCCATCTATCGGTTTCGTGACACATACTAGCAGGGCTAGTCATGATCTTCTCAGCCTATATTCCGCCTTTTAGGAGCACCCGTGAAGTAGCAGAGGGTGAAATGCAAGCTGTCCTAGAGGCTATCAACAGCACTATTGCGCAGAACTCTCCTGCCCCAGAAGATACTTATAAGCTAATAATAGGTGGAGACTTTAATCAGCAAGATCTATTATAGGGAGGTGACAACATTCAGCTATATAGAGTAGGAGAAGTAGCCAGCCTCCTTAGTTTCATAGAGGAACATAGCCTATACCACCAACTATAACGAGGCGAACCAACATGCTGGACTATGACTTGGCTAGGGAGTAGAACCATACTTGACCTGACTTTAAGCAATGTATCAGGCTGACTCAGAAAGTGCCAGTTATACTATAAAAAGTACGGATCCGACCACCTCGGCATTGTTTCAGAATGGAATTTCCCTGTGCAGCAAAGAGAGGAAAAACCACCACGCCATATATATGAGCAGACTGACTGGGACAGCGTTGGTAACCTAATAGTATAATGTATTAGAAGCTACACCAATATTAATGTAAACAAACAGTTAGATAAGCTAGTAAGACACTTTATAAGAATAACAGCTGATGCAGTCGAAAAGCAAACCCCAGTAGCTAACCCATGCCCATATTCCAAGCATTGGTTCACCCCAGATCTGAAAGAGAAGCAACGACAGTACAATAAAGTATAGCGAAAGTGGCAAATATCTACAGCCAGACTAAGCCGCAAGCACCACATTACTTAAGAACTATTTGTATCAATGCAAGGTCACAGGAAGGAATAGGCAAAGGCAATTGAATAAGCTAAATCCACACATTAGAATGACTTCCTCGACTGAGCTGCCGACAGGAACCTTCTATAGAAGGCTGTGAAATATGCTGAACCAGGTACCAAATATGTAAACATTCTACTACTATATGATGAGGAGCAGCAAGCGATGGAAAGTGAAGATAAGGCCAAGCTCTTCATAGAATTATTCTTCCTACCTATACCTATACTAATACCATCCCTTAATAACAAAGACATAGCAGAGGTTGAACTGCCTTGGAAACCAATCACTGAGGGTGAGATCCATGCCACGTTGGTTATAATTAAGGATTTGTCTACCCTAGGAGATAGCAGGCTACCACATGTTGTGTGGAAGAAAACCTGGAAATATATATCGCCTATTATCACTACCCTATTTAAAGCAGCACTTCGCCTAAGACACTACCTAAGGTTATAGAGAGCAGCAACCATTGCAGTCCTGCGTAAGTCAGGGAAGCCAGACTATACGCAACCTAGCGCGTACAGGCCCATCTCTCTACTTAACATATTAGGCAAACTCCTAGAAGCAACAGTTGCGAGAAGAATGTCATGCTATGTAGAGTGCCACAGCCTTCTCCCAAGTATACAGTTTAGATGCAGGCCTGGGCGATCTACTGAACAAGCACTCTATATCCTAGTTGACGCAATATAGAAAGCGTGGAGACAGAACAAAGTAGTGACACTGTTAGCACTAGACATTAAAGGCGCCTTCAACAGCATTAATCACCTGGTTATAAACCAAATACTCTGTAAAATAGGGATACCAGCAGTAGCACGATAGTGGATAGACAGCTTCTTGAAAGACAGATAGGCGAACATCAGATTTGACGGCTACTGCTTGGACAAGAACTTACTAGCCTGCCCGGGATTACCACAGGGCTCCCCGATCTCACCCATTCTATACACAATCTACAACCAGAAGCTAGTAGACTAAACTGTAGACAATACAGGTGGTGCATCAGTATTCATTAATGATTACTTTGTTGGAAGGTACCATCCATCATGACTGGTGGAGATTACCTACTACAGACTAGTGTACCATGGATAAGATGTCTTTATATTTACATCCTGTAGCAACTTCAATTCTAAAACAATACAATTCACTTTTATAAAACAGATTCCAACATACTTCCGCTGGCTCTGCAGACCCAGCACTGAAGAAAATACCTGAAAGCTCCAAGTAGAAGATATTCTTAAGATCAACAAATGGGCCAATCGGACTGGGTCAACCTTTGAAGTTGGGAAAACGGAGTTGATACACTTCACTCATTCCTAAAATAAGCAAATAACTAGCTCGATCGTCATGAATGGCCAGGAGATCTCCCCCTCTAGCAATGTGAAGAACATCCTGCAGTTTCCATGCTAATGCGAATACTGCGATAAACCGACCCGAAACCACTCATCTGCAATGCCACTCTACACGAACATTTTCCATCTAATCGCACCGTGCTTCTGTCCTCGCCATGTTTACCGTGAATTCCTTGCTGCTTGCGCCATTCGTGCCTGCGCGCCCACTTTCCTGGCTGTAATCTCTTAAATGCCACATTTGTTCAACATGTACAACAACCCACAATGCCTTCGTTGTTGTGAACACCTACCATTTTCTGCCTTCAATTACCGCAAAGCCTCACTCTTATACTCCTTATCGCCCAGGCTTCTATGGAAAACTGCTGTTACCACTTCAGCTGCCGACGCCTCCGTCTGTTTGACCGTCCCACAATACACCACGATCTTCTCTCGCCTCTCCTCATCTCTCTTGCAACATTTGATCCAGTATGTCCTCCCTGTTGGCGCCCGCAATCACTCTATCTTGCCCTTGGCTGGTAATCCCATGCATCTGTTGAACTCGCGCTCCTGGCTGTGCACGGAGGGCATGACACTGATCAATCATGACCACGATCTAACCGACCGTGCGCCTTCTGCCCGTTGATGGACTTCCCGAACGCATTAATTGGAGCGATAGCCTCGACGAGCGCATCTCTAAGCTGCCTGCACTTTTGTAGCTAAGTAAAATAAGGAAGGAGTAGTAGAACTTGAAAGTACACCTTCAGAAACAAATCGTTAGAAAGGTTTTTGAGGAGGCAAAAACTCACTTGAGTAGTTTTAATCAACTCATGTTCTTTCTTAGAGGTAGAAACTACTTAACGCCATAAAATCCGAGCTGACAAAAAGACCGACGCTAATTTGGAATTAGAGAGTTACAATCTTGAATTAAATTGCCCCCTTCTAAAAGCTCTTGAAGGATGATAGTAGCTTCATGCGGAGAGCTCGGCATTTCAGGCTGCAAAGATCGAGTGTCGGTGGTGTCAACATGATCATCCGGAAACCAGTGTATTCTCTACGAAAAGGATGTAATCAACGAAACTGATAGATTTGATCTCATTTGCAGTGGCAACATTGAGGTTCTCTGACATTCAGTTTAAAGAAAACAAAGAACTCTGATTCATTGAGCCGATTTCATCCCATGTAAATTTGTGGGCAACTACTTTCTTTGCCTACAATTAAGTATTGAACGGCTTCTGGCCATAGACAATATAAAATGGCATGTACATATGCGTCGTCATATCCAAGCATGCCGTCCTCGTTCTTTCACACAATGAATCTACTTCATCTTTCTTCCAACCCAATCCCTTGATCAGAGGTGCAAGAGCAGTTGCCTCAAGACCTTCAATGAGCGCAGTCTGCCAATACCATCCGACCTTCTTAAGAGAATTGCTTTCCGGCCAGGATCCAATTGGCATATGAAACACTTGTTCAACAATATTGACAAATCCCGCAGCCCTCATCATATCTTTCAGCTTGCAAGTTTCCCTCAATTTTACACCATGTCTCTCAAGACCATCGGCAACGAGATTACAAAACTTCAATAGCTCGTTGTCCACAGCCATTTTACCATCGTGGCATTTTGGAAAGTGGTCAATTTCCTGGCATTCCATCCAGCCTCCGGGTTTGAGATGTAAAAAGGCGCGCTGAAAGAGAAGATTTCGGTTTTGAAAGGCCTGGATAGTGTTGCGAGTGTGCACGTAATCCCAGTAATTCTCAGGATCCATCCAATCCAACTCAACGTCCTCAATTATGTGATCAAGGTTCGGGGGAACCATCTTTTCCTGCATCGGACTTATATCAACGGCTCGAACGAACGCCTCTTGATAACAGTCCGCAACTGTCACACGTAATTAATACTGTCTACTGGAACGCATACTTGAACCGATAGTCTGTTACTCACATTCTATTGCCCAAATACCTGTGCCTGTACCCAGATCAATAACTTTAGCGCCATCTGTCTCGATTGGCGCAAAGTATAGTCTCCCGTTGAAAACAATCCGGAAAATATGGTGCATGAGACGCTGTCGAGAATTCTCAGTTTCGTCATTCGGGAACCAGTACGATCCTCCCCCGTGATACGTTCTGCCATTTTCTTGCACAGTTTCAATGTCGGTCGAGGCAATTGTTGTAAATGCGGATGAAGTGTTACTTCCGCTCCCATAGGCTTCGTCAATATGATCATTGCCGAGTGCGGAATTGGGGACCAATATGCTGTCACTATCGATAGATATCGGTAGTGCCACATTGGAAGTTGAACCTGCACCTTGCATATTGAGCAGGTTCGAAGCCGGTATATGATGTTGTGAACCCCGAATCGTGATGTAAGTTTAGCACCGACAAGAAATTGGCTATGCAAAACGACGCGCTTGTCGCCTTTTTATGCTGATCATAGGTCTTTGCTTAATCTATATTTAAAGTTCGTGTGGGTTCTCGAACGCTTCCGAAACTGACTGGGAATCCCCACGGACCCATGGTCTGAAATTCAAATTTGACCTGCCCAGAGCATATCAACGGCTTAGAGACGGTGGCGTTCCGCCAAGTCTGATAGCACGTCCTTGTTTACGAAGGACAGCCTTTCTGTTCTGTCTTGCTACTCTCGACCATATCTTCATCGACGTTGTTGGAACTGCATTTCCGGTCGAAGGATCCGCCATAAGGGATAAGGGAACTTCCTTGCTAGCTAAACTGCCACTATAATAGTTTCAAAAAACCTGAGTAGACGAGCTGATGGCGGTAATCTTCCGGCGGGGATTGTGATGGCAGGACACAGTAACATGCCATAAAAGCCACGATGTGGTCTAACCGCTTTTGGCCTAAGCATGAACTTTCCACTTTCGTCCTAAGTTCGAGATTTCCTCCTTGGTCCTAAGTACAAGCTTTCCTTTTTTGTCGCAAGTATGAATACACCATGCCAGCGGAGTTTTTTTTTTCAAGTGCATCTAAATGCGGGTGTCACACTTGTTGGTTGTTGCGGGCCAATCGGCGATCTTCCAGAGCGTCTCGGGTCAAGGCTGCAGTTTCACGCGATCTCTATGTGCCTGGCGTCGGGCTTTCCTTATCACACCCGTTTTCCGGTTCTGTACTTTGTGGTAGAGCTCCCAGATCGCCATCGTAAGTCTTCTTGCATATACACGGCATAAGTGCTTCCTCTCTGCCACCCTGGGCCATGTTGCTGGGTGGGTGGGCATGCTTACCGCACATGTCTGGTTGCATATAAACACACCAATTGACATTGGTTCCAATAATTAGCTTCCCTATGGTGGCGGGATCCTTCCACTCCAGCATCATGCTCCTAGCCTCCCCTGTTGCTAGTGACCGTTGCTCACGCTTGGGAATAGGCGGTTGCGATTAAATCATATTGTCCTACTGGGAGAGCCACCATCTTTAAGGGACACCTCGGCCAGCAACAGCTGGTCGATGTATCTGGTCTGCACCTAAAGCGTCTGCATTTCTTTCGCTCTGTCTCTCTGCATCATGCTGTTCTTCATGCCAATTCCGCCGTGGCCCCAATCGATAATCTTGCCTACAGTGCTGACCATAGCTAGCATTGGCCTGACCGTGCTCCTAGAGTTACGAAGGCGTGACCAAAAGCGTGCACGTCCGGACAGTTCGATTGACCTGATGCGTCTGCCTTTGATCTCATTGCCCGTCGCAGGGTCCGCTTTGGCGGTTGCAGTCGTCACTGCTGTCTACCAAAGTCAGACAGGCAAAGCATCAACCATCATCTGTACACTGTATCTCCAGATCGGACTCGCTGCGTGTCTAGCTGTGAGTAGTATCTCTCGTGAGGTCCGACCTAGTTGACATTGCCCAGTACGAAGGTTCTGCGGTGATCCTTGAGCAAACGCACTCATTTACAGCATTTTTTTTCTGGTGGTGGCTTAGGCCGTCGTACGCCCTATTTTTAACATCTGTTTCACTCACAATACTCATCCAGTATGTGCAATTTTGCGTATAGAGGCCCAAGTGCTGATCCATTGCGCAGCCGAGAGCCGGTCGCAATTAACGAAGCGACGATTGCGTTTCTTATCCTCACCAGTGTCTTTGATGCTTGGCATATTGCACAAGTCCAACTTACCGTTAATAGTTCTATTATTAAGCCGTTCGATGGAAAGTTGCCTGGTTTCTATACCAAGACGAAGCGTGCGTTATCATGGCTTGTGAAGGGTTTTAGGCTGACTCTGGTATCATTCTGGAACGGCGAGGAGTCAACGCGATTCCACAGGAAGTTGTTTGTTTTATTGATACGGAACTGGGTTGTTTTTGGCATCGACGTGTCATTTGCTCTGCTTTTTTGTGTTCAAACTGGACCATACGTACGGTGGATTCTGCAGGTAGGAAGTCTCATCCAACCATAATTTCCGGCTGATTCAAAATAGTTTGTGTCATTTCCGAATTTGCTTTCGTCGGTGGTGTGGATATCTCTTCGTAGAGATGACCGTCCACGTGAACTGGAGTCATCTGGCTTCCAGGCTGGGTTAACCGACAACGAACGGTAGATACCGATACGCAAAGTCTGCTCTTCGGCAATGCTTGTCTCTCCCTCTCGTCAATACAAGCCATATTTTGAGACCTGTATGTGTACGTTATCTTTGATCCGCACAGCGATATAGTGTAATCAATATTTCTTTCGCAGCTTTTGACCTATTATGCATATTTCATATTTCGAGAACGTAGACCCACTCAATAGCAACCATCCAGCTTCCTTAAAAGTCCACAATCCATCCTCCCCACATGGCTTTCTTGACTGTCCGCTACACATACGGGTCTCAAGGGACAGTTCTGGCGGACTGAAAAGAGAAAGATCCAGAGTCTCAAGGCCAGCCACCCGAAGGATCGTCATGCGAGGCGTAGCCTTCTCTGCTTCTTCACGAGCATCTATTTTGCTCCAAAAGCAAAAGCGGCATGGTTTCAGCAAACTTCGGCACGACACCCTGCCACGGGGAAAGCGGGAAATGGAGGAACATTTGGGGACGGTGCTTAAGATGTATTTACACCTCTGCTGATCAATGAAATTATACACGAGCTAGCAGATGCAGAAAGTCATATCTCATTGATTAATTAGCAGATCAAAAGAAACCGTCTAATTTGTGATCGAGGGATGTTAGCGCCACACCCAGACAAATTGGGAGCTATAACAGTGGACTTAGCTTTCTTCCATACAGCAGCTGTGGATATGCATACATTCTCCATACTTGCCAATCTCTCCTCTAGAAGCTTTTGTCTCACTTCATGTGACAATGAAGCAATACAAACACCTTTCTAAGGAAGAGCGTTGAAAAGTACGCATCATATTAATGGTAGACTAGTCTAGTAGAAGTAATTTCCATCAGTCATCATGGATGGTACCTTCTTACATGTTGGCGGACAGATAAGATTGAACGGTTAGCCGACAATCGCATGAAGAGAGAGCTCCGGCTCATGGTACCAGATATGTCAACACAGTTAGGGTTGGGAATCCAGCATGAGATACTTTAACAAATGGCCTGTGTGTGTGTGTCTGAGATGCTAGTATCTCTCAACACGAATACCAATATAGAGTAGGAAGGGGAGGAGACAATTGAGAACTAGCTCTGCACTCCCCAAACGCTTAGCTTCCTTCTATTCTCATATTTTGTAACAGCCGTGTTTGCCTCCTTAAGGCTTAAAAAGCCTTGTGAGCATTAATCGAGCTCATGTACAGAGGTGCCGTTTTCTTGTGGGGGTTCACCAAACAACTCCTGAACGGGTGAAGAATCAGCATTTCCTCTTTTTGCGTTGTTTCGCGTTCGGTTTAGTTTGAGATAAGAGAACAATCTCCGGACTAAATTTTCCAGGTGGCACAAGGAGGAGGTGATAGATGCGACTTCGCCTCCCTCCCGTAGGCCATGCATCAGCCGTTATAATATTGAACCGCGTATCGCGCCACGCACCAAATGCTTCAAAATGCGCCTTAATCCTCAATCACACTCTTTTTTTGGGTTGTGATTATGACTCGTACACTACTGATTGTGGCCAGCCTGTTGCCTTTAAACGTATTTGCCTCACTAGTCCGGATCTCGTCATATGATTCAATTCCATATCGTCCACGCGCCGTCGCGCACCGAAAACGTTGATTACCTGGTTGAAGACATTATCAGCAATGATGGCAAACCCATCAACAACATGACCTAGCTAATGTCTTCTGTGAATGCAATGCTGTTGCAATCCCAGATTGCACCAACCTCACGAACCAATACTCCTGCGTACTGGCATCTCATGCCATTTCACTTTCTACGTCAACATTTTTTTCCTTTCCCCATCAACCGCAAATGCAAAAAAGGTATCGACGGCCCAATTCTCGCCTTATATAATTCAACTGCAGCATGAAGGGTGGCAAAGGCAGTCGACAGGATAACCAGCAGAGAAGAGATGGAAGATGCAGACAAGTCAAAGTGGATTTTGTCATAATACAAGTATATTTGCTAAGTTGTTGGATCACAGATGCCATAATGATGAAAACGTACGTTTTACATGATCAATTATCAAAGCGCATCGCAATTCACACATGGACATCATATTTATAGAACGGTATAAGCAGCTCGAATAGAAAACAGAACAATATACTCGAGAGTGATACAGTTACAGATATACACATTATACGCAAAGAGACACAACCTGTAGTGGCGAAAGCATCAGTACCATCTGAAACTAAGTTTGCTCTTATATAGAGACAGAATTAAGATCCAGTATTCAAACAGCTAGTCAGTGTCAACATGAGACCAACGTAACTGAAAACCAGAGCCGGCAGACACGATGCATTCCGTACTTCCCGGCACGTCTCATTGCTCACTACCTTGAAGTTGTGATGCAAGAACATTTGTCGGAATGTGCCATCCATGTTAAGAAATGTGAGAAGGTATTGCGGCTAATGCGTCGACCACTGGCCGATAGCAGTGCTGACGCTATGGATTTACAGCACCCTTGCTTATTGATCATTTGCCTTTCTTGCATGATTGGGGTGGAAGGAAGTACGCCCCTCGAGAGGAAGAGATAAGGTGCTTTGAAAATCGAGAGTAGTTCAAGTGGGGTCTGCGTCGCTTCGCAGGAGCAACTCATCCTTTTGGTTCCATACTTCTGTGAATATGGTCGAATGTCACAAGGCTGAAGCTCTTGCACCCTGCTCTTTTCGCTCTATGTGCAGTGAGATGTTCCCCGTATACAAGACAGCATGGCGAAGTAGCACACTTTAGCCGAGTTCCACTTGAACTTTGGACCGCTGAGTTTTGGGCCACATTACCACCCGCCATAGCCAACATAGCCATACGAAAAGAATGGCTGAAACCGTGAAGGATTCAATGTACAAGTACGGAATATTGTACAAGTACACTTTGGGCCATGACATTGCCAAGGAGTCTCGTCCCGCACTGGCATCTGACACCACTGGTGCTCCGATGTGGATAAAAAGCCTCAACGAGGCTCTCCAACTCTGGTGGCACTGTCATACTACTACTGATGACGATGTATGGTGAAATTGACTCTACAATATACACAAACTCCTGCCCAAACAATGCTGGTATAGTTTTAGAACCCGTCTATTCACATTATCCAAAGGGGTTGCGGGGTTACCGTACTTTCTCTGCTCCACATGAGAATCTGCGCAACGAAAATGTCAGATGAGTTACGCGCCACTTGTTGCTCCTGCGTAAATTTTCATTGGATGAGGACACAATGTCGTTTCTCGAATGCAGGATGTCGAGACTTTCGACATTATGCATCTCCTCTGAAACTGACAGGTCGGCCCACAGCGGCATAGGCAGCATGCAGGGTGCAGTCACCTGAATAGAAATCGCCGGACAGGTCATGAAAAAGAAAAGCATATCCTAGCAATACTTGTCGCAAATTCGCTTCCGCAACAACCATTCAAACGTCCTTCATGATTTATCTGCTCTTCTTGCATTACAGTTAAGAAGAGAATATCTCGCCCAGTGCCAATGCAACCTTACGGATTCTCTAAAATTACCATCATCACTGTGGATGATAGAAGACAGACATTAGTAAAAGGATGGGTTTGCTCGGAATGCAATAAATTTTCTAGGTCCATTGTCGTCCTTATTCTGTAATGGATGTACGCTGATGAAAAATTTAGAGAGAGAGATTTTCTCAAGAAGCGACAGCATATCTTGAGTAATCATCCCAATCATCTTGAGAAATGTTATGAGGACTGGAAAGCGCTGTTGCGAAAGGATTGGCGACGACGAGAGTTTGAAAAAGAATATGGGGTTGAAATAACACAGGACATGGCGAGAAGCGCTTTACGGGATGCTGAGTCCTGGATCAATTGGTTGGATCTATCATTCAAGGATAATCATGAGAGGTTTTGCTGGATCATCTACATTGGAGGTAAGCTTAGGGGGAACGCTCTTCCAGCAAGCATCAAATACTCTATTCATGGTAGTGAAATGGTTGTACTAGAAAGCATGGTGTAATAACTGGACTCCAAGTTTAAGCATGGACTACTAAAGTACTGTCTTGTAGAATGATACATTAAGCTTCTGTGATATGGTATACATGAATGAATACCCAAGACAACCAAAACAATAGTTGTGATAGCAGCTCTCGAAATAAAAATTGTCATATAACTTACTTAAAATGACCGGGGCTTTTGGGCAAGTGCAAGCTTTCTCAAGTCACCGAAGATACGGCGCAATATGTTGAAAGGAAATTAACTCAAGCATGATGGCAAAAAATCTAATTGCTTTATACTTCTCTTTCTTAACCACAAAGGATATAATCATGATATACCTCGAAAACAGGGACTCAACTCTGAAGGGAGGTAGCGATTTGATAGTCTGAAAATGTTCCGTTTCGTCAATATCCATCCTCTCTTCTTTTCAACATCCATAACATGGACGATACACTAAGTCCGTAAAGTCATAGGGCAATAGCAATCAGTAGAAATGCGAGAATTAGTGCAGAACTGTGGACACTATATTCAATTAGCTTGGATGAGGATATTGACGCCTAACATACCAATGAAACAACTTGCTGGGAATGAAGCAGTTCAATATAAACACAGTGAGGCACAGCATCCCCACCTCAAACCCATCCACTACCATATAGTCCTTGATTTTTGTAATCGACTTGATGAAGATGGCGAGAGAAATTCCTAAGAGCCAGGTAGAGGATTTTGAGTCGGCTATCAATCTAAAAATCCATGAGGAACCTCTGCTGTAACCTCCGAAGACGGTGATAAAATACTCCACCGTTGGTACCGACATTCCTGTCAAAGCTATGCCAATTACTGTTTTAGGTATGCTCAACCTTACACTGGATGTTGCAACTGCTTCCAAAAAATGAACAGCAGAAAACAAGACGGCGACAGTAGAAATAATTAGTATGGGGACATTAGTCAAAGGTGAATAAACCAGATTGATGCTTTTTGGGACGACTTTATTCACATCACTCATTCGTCTCTCATGGAGTTGGATAGACAAGAGACTCAAAAGCAAAGTGGCAGCCATCTGCATTCTTGGAATATAGGTACCTGTGCATGAATTAGCTTGGTTATGTATATATATGGTCATCTTGCCTTGCGGTTCAAATTTGAAAGCAAGCGGTAAAGCAATGCTGGTAAGGCTAACGATCAAGAGCTGAGCTGTTAGTCGTGCAACAATAATACGGTTCTCTAGTTGTCGGAGGCCACCAAACACTATACAAGTGCCTAGTATCATGAGGCAATATGAGGTTTGAGCTCCTTTCAATGCATTCCGAGCCAGGTCAGACTCGCCCCTCGCCGCAGCAAGGATTGAGAAGCATGTTTCTGCCCTAATATCACTTTCATCAGCTCTTGGTTTAGAAATTAGATATCATGGCTCAGACCCGAACAATCCATTCAAAATACCGGCGAGTTCCTGCAAATGCCAACTCAAAACAACGTTTTCCAGTGTAAGCCGTGAAACAACAGAAACAGAAGTTATCCCAGCAAAGCTTACGAATAACTCTGCCAGAGATCCAGGCCTTGTAAAGTGGAGAAATGTGCTCCACACAAAAAGCAACAGCGGTATACTGAAAGTCAGCAAGATTTTGTTCACATAAAGCTGCATTTTGTTCAATTTGAAATGCAGAATACACTATCAAAAAAATCCTGTCGAAAGAGGAGATGCGAAATCCAGGTACTTAAATGTGAGCAGAAGAAATTCTAACAATAGTCACTATATCTAAATGCGAAAAAAATGGAACGACGATCTTACTTGTCTAAAAATATTCTTCTTAGACATCATGACACAGGCAACACACCTTTCAAAGTGCGCTTTGGTTTCATTAGGCAAAGTAGATACGAGCACTTCATTCGCGTAGCGCAGCCAAAAGATATCAGAAGCGTCTATTTTTCCCATGGATTAAAAATAGAAAGATACGGGAGCTTAGAATTTCTTCTTGGCCTGTAATTATTCTAGAACTGTTGGCGAGTGTCACAGAACTACTAGAAATGATTCACTCGAGCTATCACGTGAAGTGAGATAACGAGGCTATCAACTCTTTATTTGGTCGTGCTGTACTAAAGTATTGTACAATAATCCAGATGTTGCATGAAGAAGAGAAGGATCAAGGGTACATTTGCTCAAGAATATAAAGGAGATCATCCCGCCTTTCCTAATTGGGATCTCAACGGGTAGACGGTGAGATTTATTCAAAGGTCCATGATTATCTTTTAGGAGCCTGGTTGGCTAGCATTAGAACGTGTTGGCCAATGTCAAGGTGCGTTTGCTGATATCAGTTCTGCTTAGGTTAGATGGGTAACAGGATGGTACTGGTCATGTATCATGGGGTGACCCCGTGACTGCGAGATTGTTGAAATCAGGGCGCGCTCTAAGCGAAAAAATTGTACCGAATCATATGTGAAACAGCCTTAGTATGTGATAGGCACAAAGCATATATGTGAGAATTTATTATTGTACTTATAGAGATTTTATAGAATATATTGCTAGTCTGTAACTTCACTTTTTTTTTTGAATTCTAATTGAGAAGTTTCGGCTGGCCTAAGGCCGCCATGCTGGCGTGTTCTACAAAGCATAGCCTCTATCTACCCTCCGAGCTAGGTCGGTTGATCCTACAGATCAGGACTGCGAGCATCACTCATCCGCTCCGCAGCCCTTGGGCGTTGCCACTTTTGCCTGCCCCTCAGAGCGAACCGCCAACTCGGTATCCGGCGTTACATTAAACTGCCGGGTTTAGAGTCCCGCTAGGTATGGTCTATTTTTGGAGGGTGGCTACTAATTATCGCCTCTGATTCTCCTTCCGGAAGTTGAATCCTCGTTCTCCGATTGGAGAGGTAGCTTGGTAGCAAGTTGACCCACGACGTTGGAAGTCTCTTTTTCCGGAGGTTGTGGAAGAGTCTCTTATGTGAGACGTTGTCGAACGCTCTTGAGACATCTATCAGCAGCATTGAGGTTACTAGTCGTCTTTGTCTTGCCCACTGGAGCTTTTCTAAGATGAGGTGGATTGCGTGTTCGCATCCTACTACTGCGCGTCCGCCAATGTGGAATCAGGGGAGTAAGCCGCAGCGTTCGGCTATGTAATTGATTCTCTTAGCTATTATGCTGTCTAGTATCTTCCGATAGTGTTGAGTAGCGCTACTGGTTGGTGGGATTTGGCTGCTGTGTAGTCGCTCTTGCCTGTTTCTGGAGTGCCATTGTAATGGATTGGCGCGGCGGGCTCAGGCATTCTTGCAGTTATTGAAGAGGTTTGTCAATGGTTTTGTCAGCTCCGCTATAGCTAGTTTCAACACTCTGTTCTATATTTGGTCTGGTCCGGGGGCCTTGTCTGGGGCCGTGCCGTACTGGGCGTCGTTAATATCATTAGTGCCTGTGTCCGGTGGTACTGGAACAAATGTGTGTCGTAGGGCTTCTGCCTTTCCCTGTGCCGTATTTTGGGGCGTGCCATTGTCGTCCTTGATGTCTGGTGTGAAGGCTGTGTGCGGGGTGCCCCTGTTTCTGGCCTACTTAGCTATTCTCCACATGTCCTTCATATCTTTGATTTCGGATATGCGCTCCTGATGTTCTTTCGTGACGGCCTTGTCAATGGTCGTTTTATTTGTCCGTCTAGCCATCTGGAAGACCATGTAGTCGATGTCATCGCCGGTGGTCCGCCATCTTTGTCAGGCTGTCTTGAATTCCTTAATTGCCTGTGTGTATTCAGGTGTCTATCCAGGTCTTGACTTTGGTCCAATCCTCGCCTTTGGTGCGCTGGCGTGAATAGCTGATATTAGTGTATCTTGGATCTTTTCTGTTTGCTATCTATTTCAGCTGGCGTGAGTCCTGCTGGTTTAATTTCGGGCAGCCGAGTTCAGAGCACTTTAGTGAAGACCTCCATGTCAATTTTTTTTTGATAAGGTATTGCTCCACCGCTTTGGCTTGGGTAATTCCGGCTCCGAATATGGTCACGAGGGGCGGGCGGTCGGATCCTTTGTCCAATTTAGCCCGGGGCCTGCACTGATAAGGCGTTCCAGGATTTATAGAAGGTAGTCAGTAGCGCGTGGGCATGCTACTTCCTTGATCCCTGGATCCCTGGATCCCCCCCCTCCCCCCGGGGCCCAGTCATCGCGTAGGTTAAAGTCTCCTACCTTGATATTTTGGTGGGATCTTCTCTGTTCTAAGGCACAGTTGAGCTTCTTTAGGGCGGACCGGTGTGGGAGGCCGGTCTCTTCTTCATATGGTGCTTCCGGGTTGGGGTTGTATACATTGTATACTATAACCTTGTTTAGTTGGTCTTTTATTTTAAGCGTTATGGTTGTTAAGTTTGGCCCATAGTCGGTGAGCTCTATACTTGTTGCATCAATATTCTTACTAATGAATATTGCCACTCTTGCCTTCGTGTGGTTTAGTATGAACGCTTTAAACCTGGTCTTTGCTGAGTTATAGGTCTGGATTTCAGTGCCGAGTCTGTTAATATACGGCTCCTGGAAGGCAATGATGTCTGCTTCGCCTAGCACAGGGTCCCTTAGGACCTCCGCCATGGTGTTGTGGCTCCCGCCTATGTTGTACTGTGCTACCATGATGGTCTGCATCCTTGGTGTGTTTTCGCTCATTATACTGCGCTCAGGTTTTCTTTGACTTTCCTTGATGTTGCTGCTGGCCTTGATGAGGACCAGACTCTCCTTCCTGTTTAATTTTATTGTCGATATGCAGCGATATCTCCGGCCCCTCACAGCGGGCGTTCTTGCTCCTCGCTTTCGGCCGTCTTTGCCCCCTTGTTTCTGACCTGGATCGGCTCCGATCGTCGTGTCGACTCTTCCTGGGATTGGTGCTGATCTCTCGGGGTGGTCCATTTGTGGTCTTTGCTTTCCTCGCTTTTACTAGGATATATTCTTCTGGGTCATCTGTTACCTGCGAGTTTGGGGCCTGTTGGCTTTCCGTTAAGGCTCCAGTCCTGCTCGTTCCTTTCTGGTTTGCTTGTGCTGGGGTGGGGACTGTTTCCATCTTATCGCTTTCTTATCCTGCAGGATGGCTGCTGATCACAGAAGGTCCCGGGCTGACCTCGTGGCATGGTTCAGGATAGAAGGGGCGAGCGTTTAGTTCGGCCTTGGCTACCTCTATCCTCCGTAGCTCGTCTTTATATTTTGGACACTGTTTTAACCAGGCATAATGTGTGCCGTGGCAGAGACAGCATCTTGGAACTGAAGATGTGCATGTCTCTTTGTTCATGCAGAAGGTTCCTTTACATTTCCCATACTGGTAGCACTTCAGGCATCTGATAAGCTGGCATGTCGAGTCATGTCTGCGCACCACTCGTAGTCCGTGACTCCACGTTAATGTCCCTCCCTTAATAAGTGTGTTGGGTCCTTCAGATGTTTTACAGTCTACCACGAGGCTACTGTCTTTCTGGCTGTCCCTGTATTTATGGTACCATCTGTAATCGACTACCATGTCTTATGCTATTACTTGTCTATTTTCGATCCTGAGCTGTTCAATGAATGCTACCTTATTCCCTGGGTCAATGGATTGGATTGGTGTCCCATGTACGATTACTGGGTTGACTGGCAGCATTATCTCCGCTTCTATTGCCACGAATCCCTTCCTTTCCTCTTTGTGCCTGCGCAGGGTCTCCGCTTGTGCTACGGTCTCCGTGTGTGCGACAATCGACCCTCTGCCGTTAATTCTGGCTGCCTTGAACTTGGCTGCCATGATCAGCGTGTCTTCCGTGGACGTGAGCGCCACGTTGAGCTTTTTGACTAGCTCACTAGGCCTTAGCTTTCTCTGTGCGTATAGTACTGCCTTATTCCCTTTGTATCTGATGACTATCTCCTTATGCTTTGGGCTCTCGATTGAGGCTGCTGTGGAGGATATCCCGCTCATGGTGCGCTGTAGGGAAGGAGGTGCGGCTGGTGAGGACGCGACTTGGGTCCAAGTGCGAGTGTTCATCGCGTTCTTTTTTGGGAGGGGCGTGTTCAAAATACTGCTGTTTGCCTTAATAATAGTGATGTCCCGGTGTATATCCTGAATAAGTGTGTACTTGGTGTTGTTGTTCAAGTTCATTCTTGTCCAGGCGTGTTGACTGCATTACAAACCGTTGAATGCTGTCAAATAGTGGTTTATAAATCTTCTCAGGGATATCCTTTCCCTTTCGGTCGGTTCCTTCAATGCTTGTGCGTGCGTATTCATGAGGTTGTTGATGTCTGCAAGGATTCGGTCTCCATGGTCTTTGAGCGTGTCGGGTTTTGCCCCAACGAGAGGCAACTTGTGGCATACTGGGTACTGGGTTATAGCCAGCAAAATGTCAACTCTGTTTTTGGGGCGATCTACGTTGCGCTAGGGTGGTAAATTCCAATAGTGTGGTTTCGGGGTTTTGTAGATGTTTTTCTGTAACTTATAAGAATATCTTCGACGTGCTGGTTTGCGCACGGACGTCAATCAGGACCAAGAATGATTGACATCTGTGCGCATCACGGTATAATGGGAGACACAGCTAGGACGACTCCCATGACGGAACGATCTCGAGGCTATCCTGAGCCAGCGCAAGCTCAATTCCGATTTCTCACAAAGCTTTTACTCGTCCATGGCCAGTGGAATTACATTCGCACATGCAAATATATTGTCGGTACATTTTGGAAAGAACTCCTCTTCTATCTCACCCAAGCTCTGTATCAGCGATGGAATGGCTATACTGGCACATCCTTGTATGAGAGCTGGTCGCTTTCCATGTTCAACACTTTGTTCACATCTTTGCCGGTGATTTGTGGGCCCTCTCCGCAATGCCTTCCAAGTTCCTGCTTGAGTTAGCCCTTGAATCCTGACTAAGCAGTTCAGCGGTTCAATGCGTAGTGCAAATGTCGACATTGGTTAATATCCAATCGCCACAGCAAAGCCAGAAACGCAGCAGAGCCAAAGACGACAAGACAGCAATAACGTAAACGTCGTAGGATCAAGTTGGTTTACTCTTGGGCAGTTTTTGATACGGTTGCATCATGTTGCAATGGACACAGCGCCATCCCTAACATGCCCACAAAAAAAGAACATGATTGTGAAAAGTTCTGACGTACCTTCAATGCCAGTGTCTCTACTGCCGGCATTTTGCTATCCACCAGACAAGTCATCCTCACCGGAGCTGGGCTGGTGGTCCTGGTTGTGACCAAGTGGCATCCGTTGTGTAGCATCTGAACACGGCGGAGTCTCAGTAGTGAAAAGAGTCGCGCCTCGAATCAGCTAGCATCACTCTGCTGCTTCTTCGCTTCTTCTGCCGCTTTTTTCCTAGCCAAGTAAGGTTTGTCTTTACAGAAAAGAGTCTTTTATGCGGGAGATCATGTGATATTCCTGCAACACATTTCTCTCATTTTGAGCAAAATGAGAGATCACGTGTTGTCACGTGTTACTTTGTAATAACGTATTTCACCACCAAGTCGCGCACACCACCAAGTCGCGCACCACATCATCGAAACTTATCATTAAACCACAACAACATGTCCAATCCAGTTCAGAATGAAGGAAAAATTTTATTAGCACTTCAGTCAATTAATTCTGCATCAAATCTATCAATTCGAGCAGCTGCACAGCTTTATAGCATTCCTGAAAGCACATTGCGCGATCGCGTTCACGGTCGCGTTGGACGCGTCGATTATCGACCAACCGGCCACAAACTCATAACAACAGAAGAGGAGACTCTAAGAGTATGGTTAATTAGTATAGCGGATCGAGGCTACTTATTGTCACCATCAAATCTGCGATCGGCAGCTAATCTATTACTACAGAAGTGAAATAGACCTGATATATATATTGGCAAAAACTGGCCTTTAAGATTTATTAACCGCCAACCAGAGCTCAAATCACAATATAATCGGAAATATGACTACCAGCGCGCTCTATGCGAAGATCCTGAGCTTATCCAACAATAGTTTACACTTGTCCGCAATACAATCATGAAATATAGTATCATCAAGGATGATATTTACAACTTTGATGAGACCGGATTTGCAATAGGCATTACAAGTACATCACAAGTGATAACTACATCTGATTGATGTACAAAGCCTAGTCTTATACAGCAAGGTGATCGAGAATGGGCTACAGTGATTGAGGCAGTCGGAGCCAGTGGCTATCATCTACCACCAATAGTGATTCTGAAAGGCAAGGTTCATATCCAGAATTGGTATGAATACAGTGAATTACCACCAGATTGGATAATTAGTCTCAGCCCAAAGGGTTGGACATCAAATGAGCTTGGTCTTCGATGGCTTACTGATATATTTGAACCATATACATAACCACAGACTGTTGGTGCATACCGCTTGCTTATCCTTGATAGGCATGAGTCTCATATAACACCTAAATTTGATTACTACTGTAAAGAACACTCTATCATTACATTATGTATGCCTCCATATTCATCACACTTGTTACAGCCCCTTAATGTAGGCTGTTTTACAGTCTTAAAGAGGGCATATGGTAATCAGGTCGCAAACCTGATGAGGCTTGGCATCTCTCACATCAACAAAGCGGAGTTTCTTACATGCTTGAAAACAGCTCGATCAGAGGCATTTTCACTTAGTAATATCTATAGTGGATTTGCTGCTACTGGAATTGTCCCATTCAACCCAGAACAAGTTCTATCAACAATCTCGAGGCCACTTACACCACCCTAACCTCTACCAACAGATGATCAGCAATTTACACCCAAAACTCCTCACAATCTTACTCAGCTATATCAGCATGTAGGGGCGATACAAGATCTACTTAGGAAACTATCATATAGTCCACCTACACTAACTAATCAGGCAATACAACAGCTGGTGAAAGGCTGTGAGCTATCTATGCAAGGCGCAGTCCTACTGGCTGCTGAGAATGAGAGATTAAGAGCTGCTAATGAGCGACAGAAAAAAAAGAAGCTATTAAAGAGACGACATATAAGTAAGGCAACTAGCTTAACTGTTGCTCAGGCCTCTCAGTTGATTCAACAGTCTCCTAGGACTGAAAATAGCGAGGTGGTAGCAGCAGTTAAGGAAGCTCAGGAATCACGTGAGGCGCCAAATGCAGCTGAAACATGGCAAATTACATGCTATATTTGTCGTAGATATGATCATCAAGCCTCAGAGTGTACAAAATATAGGATATTTTATTAAAATATTATTTTGTGGTTGCATTATATACATTCAAAGTTTTGATGGCTGGTGTGCTGCGCGACTTGGTGGTGTGCGCGACTTGGTGGTGAAATACGTTAGCTCTCGCGCCTTGAGTCTGGAGGGTCTTGAGTGTTTTAAGCGTGGCGGCCGTGTATGAACCTTCTGCACCTCCTGGGTTTGACCAGGCGGAGCATGCGTACATCATCTGTGGCACGACCGTGCCTCTATAGATTTTCCGCATGTCTTATAGGCCTATGCCCTAGGTAGAGCCTCCGATGTAATTTAGTGCGGTGATTGTTTTTGTGACTTTCTGGTGTATTTTTATGATGTGTTCCTTCCATTTGAGCTTTCAGTCCATGATGACCCCGAGGTACTTGCATATACTCTTAGCCGGGATGGTGACCCCTGGGTTACTAGTGGCCTTTTGAGGTCGATGCGGCTCTGTGCTCTTATGAAGTGCACTAGCTGGAACTTTTCTGGTGCGAATTTTGTGCTATGGGTTTGTGCCCAGTGGTGGGCCTTTTCGAGTACTCGTTCAATCTTCCTGTATATCTTGTCTGTAGAATCACCGCATGCCAGGGTCGCAGCGTCGTTAATGTACCCTACTGTCGTCACATCCTTTATCCTGCACTCCTCTATAAGATCTGCATTATAGAAGATATATAAGATAGGTGAAAGGGGTGAGCCCTGCGGGATACCTGTTTTGATCTGGTACTCCTCAGATTTGTATCCGTCGAGCACGATTCTGGTGTGCCTGCTGCTTAAGAAGCTCGCTACCCAGCGTACTATTATTTCATCTACCTTTCGCTTCCGGAGGTTGTGTAGGAGACGCTTGGCAGAGACATTGTCAAATGCCCCCATAATGTCCAGAAGGAGAAGGCTAGCTACTCTCACTTTGCCTTTGTTCTATAATTTATAAATATATTTGATTATAGCATGTATCGCGTGTTCTGTAGACCGCAGTTTTCGGCCCCCAATATGTCGGCTGGGGAGCACCTGGTATTCCTCTACCAGAAAGCTAAGCCGCCGGGTGATGACTGCGTCCATGACCTTCCTAATCATGTTTAATAGTGCGATCGGGCGGTACGCTTTAGGGGTTGTATAGTTGTCCTTTCTAGGCTTTCGCAAAACCACTGTGGTTGACTCACAGAAGTGGACTGGACAGTAGCCTAATTTTAGGCTTTGGTTGATGGTGGTTGTGAGGAATGGTACCAGCATTCCTGCGGCTGCCTGTAGTGCCCTGTTAGATATCCTATCTGGCCCTGGGGCCTTTAGTAGGGCTGCAGCATGGATTGCCTCCAATACTTCCTTTCTGGTAACCTTTGGCATCTGTACCTGCCCTGAATAGGATGCCCCTTCTATGTCGCTCAGATCCGCCTCTGGTGGGGGCGGGAAGAAGGTCTCTTTGAATATATCCGCCTTTCCTTGTGGTTCTGTTGCTGGGGTGTCCGCTAGGGCATCAGGCCTCTGTATTATGGGTGTGATGCTTGGGGCTTGGTTACCCCTGTTGCGTGCCTATTTTGCGACCTTCCATAGTGACTCGGCCGAGCTCGCCGCTTTTGTCACCTGGTCTCTGTGTGCTTTTTGGAATACTCTTGCGATGGTCTTGCCCTTGAGTTTCCTACCTTCTTAATAGTCCTTCTATGCTTCAGCCGTCGGCTGCCAGGAGTACCTTCTGCGGAGGCGCTTCATTTCTGCAAGTGTTTCTCGGCATGTGTTGTCCCACCCCTCCTTCATCTTAGGGCTAGGTCTCCTTAGAGGTAGGACCCTTTCTGTTGCTGTGTGGATTACGGTGATAATATACTGGATATACTTATCTAGCGCTTTCTTTGTGTCTGGCCTGCGCTTGGGTGTGAGGACCTCCTTTAGAGCCTCGCAGAACTTTTCCTCATCCAGGTGTTTCCACTGGTGTTTAGGTTTGGGTTCTATCGTCCAGATCCTCATATCTAGCGTGGTGCTGATCGGTAGGTGGTCAGAGTCGTGGTTAATATCCTTATCTATCCTACAGTGGACTATCTAGTCGACCAGACCTAGCGTCATCTAACAGAGGTCTATGGTCGTCTGGCCAAGGCCGTTGTTGAACGTGATTGTGCCTAGTTCCAGCATATTTATCATATTGAGGTCGTCCATAATCTTGATGAGTTCCTCTGACTCTGGCTCTTCTCTTATAACTCCTGGGCCTCCCTATATTTGGTGGTGTAGGTTGAAGTCACTGAGCGCTATCTGCTCTTTTGTAGTATGTTTCTCTAGCTGGGCTCGTAATACTGGGAGGGTGGCTGCCTGGTCTTTGCCTTAGCCTGGGTTGTATATATTATGCAGTATCAGTTCGTTTTCTGCTGCCTCTTCACCTATAAGGATCTGTAGTGTGTATAGGTCTCGCGTGTATTGTTCGATTTGCCAGCGGGCATGGTCTAGGCGCTTATTGATAAAGAAGCATACCTGCGCCAGGTATTCCTTAGTGCTGTCCGTTGGATAGCACAGGTGGAAGGTGTTCTTTGCTGGGTGGTGTGTCGTGTCCTCAAATAGATTGCGCCAGGGTTCTTGGATAGCTATTATATTATAGGTCGCTATGCTTGGGTCTCAGAGTAGTGTTGCTATAACCTGGTTCTTTGATTTATAGATATTGTACTGCAGTATCTTTAGTTGGTTTTATTTTATTATTGGTCACTGTCGCTATCGAGGTCCATGTTTTGAGTGCTGTGGCGTATTATAATATTTGAATCTATCATTTCCAGCGCTTTCCTGCTAGGCTTTAGTGGCCTCTGAGGTTGCTGATTCAACTCCTCATTTTCTTTCCCCTCCGGCGCTGCCCTCTTCTGGCCTCTCGCGGACGCTTGGGTCGTTTTCATGTCCCATGTTGACCTTGTTCTCCGCAGTGTGGGGCCCGCGGCAGTAGCTGGTGAGTCACTTCCCGTTACTGTGCTGTCGGAAATCATTGTCCATTGGCCCGTGCTCAGCGCGCGACAACACGCTTCGCGTCTGAAAACAGTATTTGGTCAATATCTTTATCGTTAGGCATATAAATCTGATTCAAATGCGCCATCTAGAGATCTATCAGCAACAGCAGATTAAGATTATACTTAATCTTGGTGTATCAGCTGAAAATATTGCTAAGGAGGTCAGATGTGCGTCTTGAACTGTCCGCTGAATCACTAGTAATTATAAAATATATAGTAAAGCATATCTACCTCGTAATTGCTACCGAAAAGGCCGATTGCCTAAGTTGACTACTGCTCAGGTTTAGGTTTGTTTATAACTTAGATGTATTAAAATCATATTACTAATATAAATTTTAGTGGTTACTCAACTTCATTGAAGATCAGCCTACTACATACCTTGATGAAATAATGCAATTTTTAGCTAATAAGTTTAATATAACTATTAGTTATACACAACTTGCAGGATATCTGCATAAGCACAAATGGTCAAGGAAGGCTGTATGTCGCCGGGCTGCAGAACGCAATGAAAAACTACATGCAGCTTGGGTTGGTTATCAATATACCTGGCACCCTACTCAGCTACTTTTTATTAATGAGAGTGGAGCAAATGAACGTACTGGTGATCGCAAGTTTGGTTGGGCACCTATTAGCAAAGAGTGTCAAACCATATCACTATTGAAATAGAGTGAAAGATGGAGCATCTTACCAGCGCTAGATGTTGATGGCTATCTCACATGGCATATCTTCCAAGGCGCAATTACAGCAGAGATCTTTCTTGAGTTTATGCGTGATCAGGTTCTGCCTTACTATAAGCCATATCCTGGCAAGAGGTCAGTAATTATTATAGATAATACTAGTATCTATAAAAGCCAGTCTATCCAAGAGCTCTGTGATCTGCATAGTGTTCAGCTACATTTTCTGCCTCTATACTCACCTGATTTGAATCCTATCGAGGGTACTTTCAGTAAGCTAAAGGCATAGATAAAGAGGCATTACTGTAAGATAGCAGATTTTGAGACTTTTAATTAGTTCTTATATCATACTGTATCAACAAACTATAAGTAGAGTATACTGGCATGCTTTTGATATTGTGGATATAACAGCGAAGCTTGATAAGATATATAGAATAGACAGTATAACTATATAATAGTTGCTGTCACATAGGATATCTTAGATAGTTGGTTGCTTAGGTGGTTAGCTATAATAATAGTCTAAAAGATATTGAGCTTACTAATTAACTATCGGTTGCCTAATCCTCTGATATAACAGTATCTATAGAATTCAGGTTGCTATCTGGGTTGATTTTTATTCACTTAAATTGATGTAATCTTTGAGATCATATATCTCTATAAGTAATAACCCTAAAAATTCCTTTATCAGCTAAATAAAAAGTAGGCATGTAGGAGTTTTAGTGTAAGGGGTGGATGTAAGCGTGATATCAAGATGGAGAGCAATAGGCTTGGATTCGTGTCAAGACTGACGACTAAGGAAGCGAACTAAAAGGAACGCTGTGCGTAGCTTAAATACTACAGTCCCAAAGAGCATGTGACTCGTGGCCTAAGCGCAGCTGCCCCGTGCGCCAGTTCCCTCTCTGTTCCTCACAACTCTTCCCCCCCTTCCATAGTCTGGTCTCCAGACTCGCTAAGAGGTTGTCAGTCTCACGGCGCGTTTTCGCGGTGGGTGCGTTTTGTCTATGGTCATCGTCGTTTGTTGTTGTTGGGGTGTGTGTCGGCACCGCGTTGTGTGCGTTGTCGTGCCTGTCACCGTCGCGTAGCAACAGTGTTATGGTTTTGATGCTCAGTGACAATATAAATCTTGCGCGTCCCCAAGTTCTTCCTCAACCATACACACACACACACTCACGACACCCGCGCCTTTGACACCATACGTATCATCACCAGCATTCAGCTTTATGGCTCCGTCAACTCCCCGTGCGTCGGGGGCGAGGCGGGAGCCGTCCACGCCTCGCTCTTCAGGTGCGAGACGCGCGCGTTCTCCCCGTCCTCGTTCCCTGGCGCCCCCTTCACCAACACCCGCACCGTCTTCGTCAACATCACGGCGCGGTGAGGCCATCTCCGGACATAGGCGTACTTCCCGCCCGCGCTCTCCTACTCCTCGGTCTCCGACCCCGATACCGTCCTCGCCGGTGCCCGAGCGCGACAAGACAAGTTCCAGGCGCCGGCGCCGTGGCAGCGATGCCTCTGCGTCCGAGCCCCCCAGTCGCCGTCGCCGGGTTGCCTTCGAAGTGACGGTGCCTTCATCTTCTCGAAGTAGGGATAATACCCTATCTCCTCCAGGGGAGACCGTGGAGGCGGAGGCAGGCACCTATGTCTGCCTCCGGTGCAGTAAGGATGTCGACCTCGTTCTGCTGTGCGATATGCCCGCGTTTCAGAAGTGTGCTGGATGTTCGCGCCAGCATCATGAGTGCGAGGAGGTTTGTGCCCTGATGTTTTGGTTGCGTCTTGCTTGGTTCTTCTCACCAATTATAGGTCCCTCCTCAGTTCGCGCTTTGTCTGGCCCGCCTCGTCGAGCTCGCTAGGGCTCTCAAGGACTACGAGTCGGGTATCACATCAACCGTTGAGGTCGATCGAGCGGAGTGCGTGCGTTTGTTCGCGCGCTATAAAACGGCGGTTGAAGCGTTTGTCACTCGCGACAACCGGTTGGGCGGGCATCGCCGCCCCACTTTAGAGGTCATGTTTCGCGAGCTCCTAGAGCAGATGCGACAACTCATCCGAGGGGTGAACACCCTCGCCAGCATCTCGCCCTCCTCCGTATGATCTTCCTCTGTTTTCACGTTGGTTGTTTTTTCTGACCTTTGTGTAGACTGCTGCGTCTCAGGCGCGTTCTGGGCGCGTCTCACAGATTCCTCCCGAGCTCGTTTTTTCCTTGCGACACCAGGGTCGCCGGGCGTTCCGCCCAAATCCCTCTCTCGACCCTGCTCCCCCTTCTCGTCGACGGCGCCATGCCGGCGACTCCTCTGCTACGGCGTCGTCGTCTTCTCGGGGCGGTGGTTCCGCTGCCACCCGTGAGGGTTCCTTTGTGGAGCTCTCATCCGATTACTCCGAATAAGGGGCTCGTCCCCTGCGTTTTGCTTCTTGTAATATATTTAGCATAGCTTACTTAATGTATGGTATCTTCATTCGTTGCTCTTCGCGTGCGTCTTCTCTTCGCTCGGTTATCAAACTCGTCACGCATCTCTTGGGCATTGTCTAGGTTTTCCCTCGGCAACCATTGGTTGTACTCTGTAGGGTAACCTTTCCATTTGACGAGATACCACATGCCATTCTTATGCTTTTTCTTGTCGAGGATTTCTTCGACTTCCCATTCCTCCTCATCATCAATGATTTCTGGGAGGGGCAGTTGGTTCGCCGTGTTCTCGCCTCCCTCCCGCTGGTGGTACTTTTCCAACAGTGAAACATGGAATGTATTCCACACCTTCCATGAGGCTGGTAATTGCAGTCGGTAAGCTTGCGTTCCGACAGGTTCGAGGATTCGGAATGGTCCAACAAAGCGCGGTGCAAGCTTTTTGCTTGGTTGTTTTAACCGCAAGTGCTTTGTTGACAGGAGGACAAGATCATTTGTTTTGAATGCCATTGGCTCGTGTCTGCGGTTATAGTATTTTGCTTGCTCTTTGCTTGCGTTGGCAAGGTATTCTTCAAGCTTCTTGCGTACGTCATGGAGTTGCTTCACTCGCTCATTGACGTCTGGCACTTTGCTCTGGGTTTCAATATCATAATAAATTTCTGGGTGGAACCCGTACAACGCAAAGAACGGGGTTGTGCCAGTTGATGCATTAACACTGTTGTTATATGCAAATTCGGCAATTGGCAGTAATTTCGCCCAGGTCTTCTGATACTGCCCGCAGTAGGCACGCAGGTATTCTTGGATTGTCTGGTTTTGCCGCTCCGTCTGTCCATCGGTTTGCGGATGGAATGCGGTTCCCATGCGTTTGCGTATGTGCAGCATGTAGCACAGTTCAGACCAAAATTCACTAGTGAACTTCGGGTCACGATCAGAGACAATGCCTTTTGGTAGGCCGAAGATTTTCATGACCCATCTTTGTATATCTGTCCACAATCACGAGGATAGCATCATATACGCGCCCGTCGCGTTTGGACGGCGGGATGCCACTCATGAAATCCATCGTGATTTCTTTCCATGGACGTTCCGGCACAGGCAACGCCTGCAATTCACCATACGGGCGGTGTCTCTTCACCTTCACCCGTTGGCATACGTCGCATGTTCGCACGTATTCTTGTACGTCTTGGCGCATTGATGGCCAGTGGTACTTTCTACTCAGGAGCTCAACCGTTTTGGCTGCTCCAAAGTGTCCTGCATGGGGGTCATCATGGTACCTCCTCATGAGCTCAAACTTTACTGCCGGGTCGTCCGGTACGTAGGCTCGACCTCGGAACAGTAGGACGTCCTGACGGTTTATTGACCAGTCACCCGCCCTCTTCCCGACCTTCCCTTGTAATGCGTCACGCTTGCTTTTGGTGAATTCGCATTGGGCCTGTAGTTCACGAAGAATATCGGGGATCTCCTTTTCCATGTAGGCTGCTTCACCTTCCATGGCTCTCACAACGACACAGCGTGGGTAGGCGCTTTTCCCTACTTGCCACGTTGTTCGTTGCCCACGATGCCCGCACTCTTCCCGCGTCCGGGATGCGCGAAGACCGCGTAAGGCCGCAGTTATAGCATCGCCACAGGGGCTCGCCTCCCTGCACTCTGGACTAGTCCCTGGCTGTTGCCCTGTGTGCCCGATCGCTTTTGATCTGTTTTTAAGCACCAGGGTTGCGCTCACAGCACTTT